TTTTTTTCTGAGTTCATGTATCGATGCCCGTAGAGACTCGTGGACAAAAAGAAGAGAGAGAGAGAGAGAGAAGGGAGAGGGAGAGCACTCATCTTGAGGGACTTGTTGAGTCTTTTTTCGTAATGCCTGAGAACCCCGGTAGTTATAACATGGTCACGGTAAAGGCCTTTGTAGCCTTGAAGGCTCAATTGGAAGCGGCTAATGAGGAGGACAAACCATTATTCCAAGTCCTCTACCACAACCCAATGGCAGAGAAGGCAGAGGAGGAAAAGCGGAAAAACGTTGTTGCGGACCATGAGGTTGTTTTCAAAACAGTCCCCTCCGTGCCCGACACTGAGGTCAAGAAAGATCTGGTTACGTATGTGCATTCTCTCATCGATTGTCACATGCTCAGTGAGCTTCCTCGTCAGATCTCTGAACTTTTTGACCAGGTGAGTAAAATGCAAACGCAGATTACAGATATGGCCAAGGAGCATCGTGATCAGATGTAGTAGATAGCAAGTCTACATCGGGCCCAAATCCCTCATTCTCCTCTTCTACCTCCTGCCTTGAATGCTTCTAACCAACTGTCCTTGCTCCTCTCCATGCCTCTACTTCTTCTTCTCTGAGTATGGCGCAGTCGCGACCTGCAGTAGGTACAAACCCCATTTTTGCTACAACAAGTGATAGTGCATGGACTTTTGCAACCGTTGTAGCCTCGAGTTCAGACACAACATTTGCTGATCCCAATTGTAGCAGTCCCTATGTTGACAGAAACGTGGTACAAATACCATCTAAGTACGACGGCAAGGAAGACGTAGAGTTCTAGATCAGCTCCATGAGAGCCTACTTCGAGGTGTTGGGAACTCAACTTTTGAGCCAGTCCTTGATCATAGGGACAAACGTCGAGCCCGCTGTATGGGGCTTCTTAGAAGTCCAAGCTATAAAAGTCGGGTACACTAAGATCGATGTGACGTTGTGGCTCAAGGCAACACCAGTGACCACACTTGAAGAGATATTGATTGAGCAATATAAGGACCCATGCTGCTGTAAGAGTTCGAAAAAGGCTTGGTGATCTCAAGCGCAACAAGTGGTCGGGCACCATGCACAACCCGCAATTGTATGTTAGCAAACGTTTTGCTACACCTGGGTTGAAAATGACTGCATAGTCAATGCTTGGATGTTGTGAAAGATATGGTTCCCACTACTCACACATATCGCTTAGGCAAAAATCTCATTGCATACACGGGCTGGCTTTCCCTCATGCAAGATGTCGTCAGCCTCGAGGCACAAGATCTCGTTTCCACAACAGACAGCCTATAGGCGGCAGGCAGTTTAGAGGCAACAACCATTTTGTTGTGCACAACCTGTTGGAGGCTGATGAGGAGACCTATGCAGATGACCCCACTCTTGGCGACGACCAAGAGCAAAACCCTTATACAGCCTGTTCCTCTTCATCCCATGAGTCTGACATTAATAGTGATGAAGAAACTTAAGGCCTAAGTAAAGTCTGCCAATGTGAAAGGACCGAACTGGAATTGAAGGAAGAACTATGTCCCACTTCCCAAAGGAGCCAAGATCCCAGCCAAGTCGGAGGATGCTACAACGAAACCTTGGTTGGATCTCTGAATCAGCGAAAGTGAATGGAAGGCTAGGATCAGAAAGGGAGTTTGCCTGCGTTGCTTGAAACCG